GGCGGGAAAGAGGGTGATCACATCATGCGGGAAACGCAAGAGGGAAAGGGGCCAGAGGTCGAGCGAGAAGAGCAAAGGCTTGGAGGATAGGTCCCTGCTGCCCTGTGACTTGGGCATGGTTGGGACAGCAGCCAGACCCTCTGTCACCATGTGGAAGTTGCCCTGTTGGGGAAGGGCCCCAGGCTGTCAGGATGAACTGAATGTCATCAGATTCCGGAGCAGGGAGGGGCTGGACTGGAGACGAAGCAGTGCTCTGCATAAAGTCAGGGCTGCGTGCCTGTTTGGGGATATTCTGAGCCCTCTGACAGCCTCCTCAAGGCTCTGGATTTTAGGAACTTGTGATGTTGCTGGCTTTTATTTGTGTGAATTTGATCTGTGGGTTTTCCTTTGTTTGCCTGCAGTTGGACCGTATGCGGCTGTGAGCTTTATGTGCCGCAGCCGTTGATATCTGCTATTCACTTGATGGCTCACCACCTACCCCTTTCCAAAAGTCTGGAGTCCCACTGTGTCAACCCAACTCATTTGTTTTGTTGAGTGTAGACATCCCCAAGTTAGCATGGATTGGGATGCATATTGAGATCCATCTCCATGGATCTTTGGCCCCCAAGAAGATGCCAGAATTAGAGCACTTCTGATAAGAAACTCCTCATTCCACTGTGGTACCCACATCCCTTTTAGCACCTAGCCATGGCTGCTATTAGGCTGGTACTGGGGGGCAGGAGGGCTGGACAGACCCACCGGGAAAGCTTCTTAGGCATGTGTATGTGTGTTTCTTGCAGGGGAAGCAGAAGTATACACTTCCGCTGTACCACGCAATGATGGGTGGCAGTGAGGTGGCCCAGACCCTCGCCAAGGAGACCTTTGCGTCCACCGCCTCCCAGCTTCACAGCAATGTTGTCAACTATGTCCAGCAGATCGTGGCACCCAAGGGCAGTTAGAGGCTCGTGTGCATGGCCCCTGCCTCTTCAGGCTCTGCAGGCTTTCAGAATAATTGTTTGTTCCCAAATTCCTGTTCTCTGATCAACTTCCTGGAGTTTATATTCCCTCAGGATAATCTGTTCTCTAGGCTTAGGTATCTGTGACTCTTGGGCCTGTGCTGTGGTGGGAACTTCCTTCTCTAGTCCACTGAGCCCTGAGACAGTGAACCTGCCCACAGCTCTCCCCGCTACAGGCTGCGGGCACTGCAGGGCAGCGGGCCTTCTCTGCCTCTCCGCCTAAGTCTCTGGGAAGAAGTGGAGAGGACTGATTCTCTTCTCTTCTTTTTTTTCTTTTCTTTTTTCTCTCCTTTTTCTTGCTGATTTTATGCAAAGGGCTGGCATTCTGATTGTTCTTTTTTCAGATTTAATCCTTATTTTAATAAAGTTTTCAAGCAAAAATTGTTATGTATTGAGTGACTATTACATTTCTTCCACCAGGGGTCCCCACTGTGTTTGTTCAGGAAAGGTCACTGGGGGAAGCCCAGAGAATGACAGTGTTTCCCTGTCCTCAGCAAACAGCCAGGGTGAAGGAGGTGGGTGTCCCACCCATGCATATGAAAAAATATATGGCAAAATGGCACAGCTGGTACAGGAAAATGAAAAAGGAATAGCATTCCAGTTCTCTGTGAAGCAGCTGAATTCTCTCCCTGCAGCAGCATTCCTATTATCATTTCCATCACTAAGAAAAAAAAAATGGGCTGGGCACAGTGGCTCATGCCTGTAATCCCAGCACTTTGGGAGGCTGAGGCGAGAGGATAGCTTGAGCCCAGGAGTTTGAGACCAGCCTGCCCAACATAGTGGGACCTCATCTCTACCAAAAAAAAAAAAAAAAAGGTCGGGCGTGATGGTTCACGCCTGTAATCTGAACACTTTGGGAGGCCGAGGCAGGCAGATCACTTGAGGTCAGAAGTTTAAGACCAGCGTGGCCAACGTGGTGAAGCCCCATCTCTACTGCAAAAATTATATATATACAAAAATTAGCCATGCATGGTGGCATACACCTGTAGTTCCAGTTACTTGGGAGGTTGAGGCAGGAGAATCACTTGAACCTGGGAGGTGGAGGTTGCAGTGAGCTGAAATCATGCCACTGTACTCCAGCCTGGGTGACAGAGCAAGACTTCTAAAAACAAAACAAAACAAAACAAAGATAGCTGGGCGTGGTGGTGCATACCTGTGGTTTCAGCTACTCAGGAGGCTGAGGCGGAGGATCACTTAAGCCCAAGAGGTCAAGGCCACAGTGAGTCTTGACTGTGCCACTGAACTCCAGCCTGAGTGACAGTGAGACCCTGTCTCAAAAATAAAAATAAAAAACTGTCTTACGACTTTTTCTCTACCCTTCTCCCCATCCCCAAGGCTTCACTGGGCCTCACCTGTCTTTGCTCCTGGATGACTATTTGAATGGTGTGGTAATCAGTAGTCTTTTAGAACTTAGCACTAAATTCTGATTTCCTGGCCTCAACATGGGGACCTAAACAGTTAGCAATCTGGGTTTGGGAGTGGGATGAGGGGAGGGTTGGAAGAAATATTTAGTGTGTTTCAGTTGCCTTTCTTTAAATACAGGGCACCCCTGAACCAGCCTCTGTTCGCAGCTCTGCTCTGTCCTCGGCTTCAGGTTATCGAACAGGCTTTCTCCCTCCCCTGCACAAGGGTTGGGAATGAGTCGATTTGCTTTCACTCAGCAAGAGCAAGGGACTAGTGGTGACCAAGTGGTAGACTGGAGAGGCCTCTGCCCCATGGCACACTCAACTTCACCATCAGGGCGATGTGGGTCACAGGAGAGGGATCTGGAGGCCCAGGATCGGAAGAGCTACTCTAGGCACTGGCATTTTGACAGCAAACTCCTATGGCTCTTTCAGGACTGTTCCTGGCAATATGTTATTGACAAAGACTATTTTAGGGCTATCCAGTTGCCTCCCCCTCTCCCCAACCTGGTGTCTAGCTTATCAGTAGCTATCTTTCCTTGCTCTTTACAAAAATCTATAGCACCCACAGGCCCAGTAATCATGAAAGGTCACTGGAAGGAAAGGCTGGAAGTCCTTCTTCTAACAGCCGTTCTGTGACTCCACTAACTTTGTGGGTTCCCATTTCATACCACGGGTATCCTGAGCTGTGTAGCCTGCCTCACTCGCCACCTTTGTACCCGACAGGCCTACTGGATGTGGCTGTCCTTTTGTAGGACATCCTCCCATCCCACAGATGAGGCTGTGCTGCCGTGTGGGCAAGCTCTGTGGGGAGAGGGGAGGCGAGTGGGCTGTTTTTACCATCACAGAGTACTGGGAAGCCCCTGGCATCCTGCTCCGTAGCTCTCTTGACCACTATCCTGGAATCATCTCCCCAACCCCATCCCCATGCTTCCAAGGCACTGACCTCAAATCCAAGTCTTTCCCACTTATCTCAAGCTGCTAGTCTGTAGGGATTCCTTATCTCAGCTCCATGTCACCGGTGAGGAAGCCCCAAGAAGGCAAGGGAGCTGACAGCCTTCTCATTTTTCTCATACATTCTCCTCTTCACCCCGCCATCCTGGGAGCCCCAGCCAGATACTCTTCAGGGCAGGGAGCACGTGAGCAACCCTGGGGCTAGAAGCCGGTTCTCCCACATTCCTGGGTGAGGGACTGGGTGGAGGGTGTGCCTGCCTCAGGCTCCTTGGGGGAGGCCCCCTGAAGGGCTGGGGAAAATCCTACTGAGCCCCAGGCTCTCCTGCCTGCACTGTCCCAGTGCGGGGGTGGCGGGGGCGGAGGTGGGGTTGGGGGGGGAATCCTGGACATTACTCTCCCCTAGGCACCCAGGCGCTTCAGAGAGGAGGAAGGTAAGAAGCAGATTCTCTGGGCAGATTTTCTTAGTCCTCAGGCTATAGAGTTAAAGAAAGGAGTATCTGTGGAGGGTGGAGTCACCTTTTGTTTGAGTAACCATTTCACCCACCCTGGCTGAGGGTGGCCAGGAACTCCGCAAGTTATGCATTAATGGAGGTGGGTCACACAGATCCTACTTTTTTTTTTTTTTTTTTTTTGAAATGGAGTGATTACAGGTGTGAGCCACCGGATCCTACATTTTTAGATGCATAAAAGTCTAGATCTGGGCTAGGCACGGTGGCTCATGCTTGTAATCCCAGTACTTTGGGAGGCCGAGGCAGGCAGATCACAAGGTCAGGAGATCGAGTCCATCCTGACTAACACGGTGAAATCCCATCTCTACTAAAAATACAAAAAGCCGGGTGTGGCGGTGGTCTGTAATCCTGGCTACTCGGGAAGCTGAGGCAGGAGAATTGCTTGAACCCAGGAGGCAGAGGTTGCAGTGAGCAGAGATCGCGCCACTGCACTCCAACCTGGGTGACAGAACGAGATTCCACCGCAAAACAAAATAAACAAACAAAATGCTAGATCTAGAAGAGATCTTAGGGATTATTAAATTAAATTCAGACAACCTCATTTTTTATAGATGAGGAAACAAGCGCAGACTCCAAGGGTCTCACCCAAGATGACACAGTTGCAGATGTTGGCTACAAGTCTCCTGCCTCAGCCACCTGTATTACCCCATTCAGGATCTCAAGGAGGGCCTACAAGACCCTGTCCATTGTGTTTCAGGCTGAGTCCATAGAGACAACCACAGACATGGGGGACTCTGCCCACAAGGAAGGCGAGGGCTCTGGCCATGGAGCTGGGTGGGAAGACTCTGAGTCCTGTGCAGGGAAAGAGCAAGGGTTTCGTGTACAACACACCTGCATACCTGGGTGTGAATCTCAGCCCCACCCCTTCACCAACTCTGTGTGGCCTGGGCAAGCCATTCTGAGGGAACCCTCCACGCTGCAACTTTCTCGTCTATAAAATGGGAATAACCATGCATTCCTTACAGGACTTTTTTGGTGTGAGGATTAAATGAGAGAATATGTTGAAAAGTGCTTGGTAAATATATTAATACTATGCGTTCCCTCTTTGAATGACGTGACCCAGATAGTCAGGCTTCTGACCACTAGAGGGCAGCAGAAGGCACTGGGAAACTGGGCCGAGTGAACCAGAGATTAGATGGAGTCCAGAGAGCAGGGATGAACTTATCCGTGTGGATTCTGGCAACTCCGGCAGGGAGGGCTTCAGCAGGCGCTGAGGGAAGAACTTTCAAGCAGAGCTGGGTCTCTTCAGGAGTGACTGCAGCAACCCTGATGCTTGGATGGAGTTCAGGCAGGTGATGGTAGTGAAGACCTTGCCAACAGATTGAGTGCTGGAGAAGGACCCCTTTAGTGGGGACCCTGGAGCCAAGGCTAGGCTGGCAGGCCCAGCCACCACTAATTAAACCATGAATATTGCCCAGCGTTGAGCCTGGAGCACCTGCCAGCCCCTGGCCAGAGTACTGGGTGTTCTGGGAAAAACCCCTAAACCTAGTAACTCCTCTCCCTACTAGGCCTCTTTGTCGCCAAATCGCTGGAATTTAGGGGCCAGCAGCTTTCTGATCTAGGTCAGCCAGAGGTTCACAGTCCCTCACTTTCCCTGCCCCTGCCTGGCCCATCTCTGGCCTGGCCCCTGGGAGGATTTTCCTGGGCCAGAGGGCAGCAGAAAGCACAGATGCCCACCCCAGCAATGTTCCCGCCACCTGCCCAGGCTAGTGCCCTGTGCCCAACCCCAGAGGGTGCGGGATGACAGACTCTGACAATCATTAAACCAGCCGGGCCTGATTTCCCAGCACCGCCTGCTAAGATCCGGGCCAAGTGGCACTGAATATGCAAATCACCTGGGGCCAGGAGCCCAGTCTAAAGGCCAGGAAATCCCCTCCGTCCAATGAGCCACCAGCTCAGGTTACTGCAGGGGACGTACTATAAAGGCCTGAGCTCAGGGAGGAGCTCCCTCCAGGCTCTATTTAGAGCCAGGTAGGGGATCGCAGCGGCCAGACACCTCAGCGCTACCTGGCAGAACTGGATTTCTCTCCCACCTGCGGCTTAAGCCTGACTGCCAGCCTGCCTGCCACAGCCGGACTCCACCACTCCGGTAGGATTCCCTGCCTGTCATTCCCTAGAACAGCTCTTGGGAAACTGCAGAGGGGTCCAGAGGATTTGCGGTTCTGAATCTGCACACTCCAGTCTAGGATCTCCGAGCAAGAGCGTAGGTGTTCTAAGTGTCGAAGAACAGAGAGAGATCGTCTCTGGGAGGGCAGAATGGCCATGACGCTGCCAGTCTGACTCCAGGGCCCCAGAGATCTGAGGAGGGAAGTCCAGCTGGAGGCTCCTGTGGTCCTGTCCTGGTCTGAGATCTTGGAGCCCTTCTTGAAGAGAGGGTGTCTGCAGAGTTGATGATCTTCCTGCCCCTGGGGGCTACTCTTGCCCATCATTGGGCAAAGCAGAGTAGCTGGGAGTGTAAGGAGAGGACCCTCGTCCCCTCATCAACCTCATCCCCTCTCCCCCTACCCACAGGTAGCCTCATGGCTGCAACCTGTGAGATTAGCAACATTTTTAGCAACTACGTCAGTGCGATGTACAGCTCAGAGGACTCCACCCTGGCCCCTGTTCCCCCTGCTGCCGCCTTTGGGGCCGATGACTTGGTGCTGACCCTGAGCAACCCCCAGATGTCATTGGAGGGTACAGGTGGGTCTCAGCGGGGTGGGATGGGGCACGGAGTGGGAGACAGATCCATCTAAGGGCCTGTTAGACAAATGGGAGAATGGGCAGGGAGGAGGGTCTCTGGGCGAATTCCAGGGCTAGAGGCTGAGACGTAGTGACTGAGGTGCTGGGGGTTGTGGGGCTGTGACAGTCGGAGGGAGGTGTCAGATACCAGGACAAGGGTGTTGTGAATGCTACCTCCTGCCCCTACTCTTGGGATGGCTCCAAGGGCTGAGGTGTGAATCCCCAGTGTGCTCCAGGAATGGGGCTGTGTGGGCTGGGAATGGTGGCTCACACCTGTATTCCCAGCACTTTGGGAGGCTGAGCTGGGCGGATCACCTGAGGTCAAGAGTTGGAGACCAGCCTGGCCAACATGGTGAAACCCCATCTCTACTAAAAATACAAAAAAATTTTAGCCCATCTTGGTGGTGGACACCTGTAAGCCCAGCTACTCGGGAGGCTGACGCAGGAGAATTGCTTGAACCCAGGAGGTGGAGGTTGCAGTGAGGCGAGATCGCGCCATTGCACCCCAGCCTGGGCGACAGGAGCAAAACTCCGTCTCAAAAAACAAACAAACAAAGAAACAAAACAGCGCTGTAAGGTCTGCTGGGTGGTCTGGGCTGAGCCTGTTGCCATGCCTGGCCCTTGCAGAGAAGACCAGCTGGTCGGGGGAACAGCCCCAGTTCTGGTCGAAGACACAAGTTCTGGACTGGATCAGCTACCAAGTAGAGAAGAACAAGTACGACGCAAGCGCCATTGACTTCTCACGGTGTGACATGGACGGGGCCACCCTCTGCAATTGTGCCCTTGAGGAGCTGCGTCTGGTCTTTGGGCCCCTGGGGGACCAACTCCATGCCCAGCTGCGAGACCTCAGTGAGTCCAGGCCCCTGGAAGCGGGGGAGCAGCTCCATATGTTGAGCTGAGTTGAGTTCAGTGTGACAGTGGGCAGGCCCTGGAGCTCTGGGCCAGCAGCATAGCCAGAGAGAGCTCTTCAGGGAGGGACGAAGGGAGTGTGACCCTTCCTTCCTTCCTTGTCAGCATCCAGCTCTTCTGATGAGCTCAGTTGGATCATTGAGCTGCTGGAGAAGGATGGCATGGCCTTCCAGGAGGCCCTAGACCCAGGGCCCTTTGGTGAGAACCCGTTTTCTCCTTCCTTCCCCAGCGTGTCTTGTCCCATCCCTGCCCCTCCACAGAGTGCTAGAGATGACCCCCTCCCCGGACTTCTTCTTCCCTCAATTAGAAAAATTGCAGCAGGTCATCAGACCCATGGGCAGCCTCACCTGTCCTGGTCTGGTCCCCTGAGCCCTCTCTGAGTTCTCACCTCCTCTTCCCAGACCAGGGCAGCCCCTTTGCCCAGGAGCTGCTAGACGACAGTCAGCAAGCCAGCCCCTACCACCCCGGCAGCTGTGGCGCAGGAGCCCCCTCCCCCGGCAGCTCTGACGTCTCCACTGCAGGTGAGAGTCCTCTCTGGGCCACAACCTCCCTTCCCCAAAGTGTCCCTGGTTCCCTCCGGCTCCCAGCACCAGAACTCAGGCCTTCTGGCAGGAATAGGAACAGGCTGGGAAGTGTGTCCTGAGAGCCAGCAGCATGGTTCAGCAGAGGGTGGGCCGGCAGGGGACTTACTCTGACCCCACCCCGCAGGGACTGGTGCTTCTCGGAGCTCCCACTCCTCAGACTCCGGTGGAAGTGACGTGGACCTGGATCCCACTGATGGCAAGCTCTTCCCCAGAGGTGAGTTGAGGGAGGTCCCCAAGAGGGTGTCCCATTTAGCAGTGTACAGAGGGCCCGGCTCTTTCTGCAGCCTTTTCCTGTAGAGGGGCTGCTCTCCCTAACTCCCCCCTTGCCCTCCTTGATCTTCCACCACCGTCCCCACAGACGGCTTTCCTGACTGCAAGAAGGGGGATCCCAAGCACGGGAAGCGGAAACGAGGTCGGCCCCGAAAGCTGAGCAAAGAGTACTGGGACTGTCTCGAGGGCAAGAAGAGCAAGCACGGTGAGCTCCAGGGGCCCCTGGGTCCTCCCTGCACCGAGGCTGAGCTGCTGCCCGGGGCACTGCGGGTCATTGTGGGTATCCCTCCTGCCGTTCTCTCTGGCCTCCACACGGCCTTTGTTAAGGCTGTGCACAAGCTGGGGGCTCTATGGTATTGGTCACCACCTAATTACAAAGCCTGGCTTGGTGGTCCTGGAGAGGAGGAGGAAATAAGGCTCCCAGTGGGAGGCTCATGGCACTAGAGTCCTGTCCACTGACTCCAGCCCTCTCTGCGCTTGGCCACTGTCCTGCCTTCTGGAACACCCTCGGTGTAAGGAGGCAGCTGGTGGGCGCTTAGGTGGGCTGAGGAGAAAAGCAGTCACTGCAGTACCCACACAGAGGGCACTCTGGAGGGGCTTGCCCCATGCTGTGGCCGAGTCAGCAGTGCGCTGGGGTGGGCAGGGCCAGCTGGCCTTGAGTGAGAGGGGACACCTGGATGGCAAACTGACAGAGGCTGGCCTTGTAGCACCCAGAGGTACCCACCTGTGGGAGTTCATCCGGGACATCCTCATCCACCCAGAGCTCAATGAGGGCCTCATGAAGTGGGAGAATCGGCATGAAGGCGTCTTCAAGTTCCTGCGCTCTGAGGCTGTGGCCCAACTGTGGGGCCAAAAGAAAAAGAACAGCAACATGACCTATGAGAAGCTGAGCCGGGCCATGAGGTGAGCTGGCGACCAGGACCCTCACCATGCAGCCAGACACGGGAACAGTGCTCACACTTCCACCGCCCTCCTCCTGGATGCCACTTGGCTTCATGCAACAAGGCTGAGTCCTGTAGAGTGAGGACAACATCTGGGTTGGCCTACTTTGTGGATTAAACGACAACATGGAGAAAGTATTAGCCTGGTGGACGGCAGACACAGTGTGCTTGAGCTAATGGCAACATTTCTTGTATCACCTGTGAGGCTCGTCCTCAGGAAGGCACCTGGAGAGTCGGGAAGTGGGTGGGAGCTGTGCCCACCCAGGGCCTGGCTTTCTCCTCGTTGAAGCACTTAGGTTGCTTTTCTCCGGGCCTCAGTTTCCTCCTATGTCCAGGGGTAGACTAGGTCATCTTAAGGTCCCATCCAGCCCTAAAATCATATACTTTCTTTCTTTCTTTCTTTTCTTTTCTTTTTAAAATAGAGACAAGGGTCTCTGTGTTGGCCAGGCCAGTCTCAAACCCCTGGTCTCAAATGACTGTCCTGCCTTGGCCTCCCAAAGTGCTGGGATTACAGGTGTGAACCACTGTGCCTGGCTTTTTCTTTTTTCTTCTTCTTCTTCTTCTTTTTTTTTTTTTTTTTTTGAGTCAGGGTCTCGCTCTGTTGACCAGGCTGGAGTGCAGTGGTACAATCTTGGCTCGCTACAACCTCTGCCTCCCAAGTTCAAGTGATTCTTATGCCTCAGCCTCCCAAGTAGCTGGGATTACAGGCACCTGCCACCATGCCCGGCTAATTTTTGTATTTTTAGTAGAGACGGGGGTTTCACCCTGTTGGCCAGGCTGGTCTTGAATTCCTGACCTCAAGTGATCCGCCTGTCTCGGCCTCCCAAAATGTTGGAATTACAGGCGTGAGCCACCGTGCCCAGCCGCCTGGCCTTAAAAATCATATACTTTAATGATCAGACCCCAGTCATAGCCATAGGATACAAAGAATCAAGGGCAGAGAGCCATGTGTCCTGGGCACAGTTACTGGCCAGTATAGGGAAAGAGCTTCTGCTTACGGGTGGGAAGAACAGAGGAGTTCAGGAAGTGTGAGTCAGGCTCAGCTTAGGCAGATACCCGTGGGCATGGGTCACCTGGGGGTAACGCGGGCTAGGTGGGAGGGCTGGCAACTTGGGGCCCATTTCCTGCCTAAGCACCTCTGACCATCCTTCTCCCCACCCAGGTACTACTACAAACGGGAGATCCTGGAACGGGTGGATGGCCGGCGACTCGTCTACAAGTTTGGCAAAAACTCAAGTGGCTGGAAGGAGGAAGAAGTTCTCCAGAGTCGGAACTGAGGGTTGGAACTATACCCGGGACCAAACTCACGACCACTCGAGGCCTGCAAACCTTCCTGGGAGGACAGGCAGGCCGGATGGCCCCTCCACTGGGGAATTCTCCCAGCTGTGCTGTGGAGAGAAGCTGAAGTTTTGGTGTATTGTCAGCCATCATCCTGGGACTTGGAGACTATGGCCTCACCTCCCCACCCTTCTCTTGGAATTACAAGACCTGGGGTTTGAAGCTGACTGTATAGCTGCAAATGTGTCTCCTTTAATCTGGTGCCTCCTCAAACCCAGTCTCAGACACTAAATACAGACAACACCTTCCTCCTGCAGACACCTGGACTGAGCCAAGGAGGCCTGGGGAGGCCCTAGGGGAGCACCGTAATGGAGAGGACAGAGCAGGGGCTCCAGCACCTTCTTTCTGGACTGGCGTTCATCTCCCTGCTCAGTGCTTGGGCTCCACGGGCAGGGGTCAGAGCACTCCCTAATTTATGTGCTATAAATATGTCAGATGTACATAGAGATCTATTTTTTCTAAACTAAAAACATTCCCCTCTCCCACAGAGTGCTGGACTGTTCCAGGCTCTCCAGTGGGCTGATGCTGGGACCCTCAGGATGGGACTCCTGGCTCCTTTCTCCTGTGAATGGAGGCAGAGACCTCCAATAAAGTGACTTCTGGGCTTTTTCTAACCTTTGTCTTAGCTACCTGTGTACTGAAATTTGGGCCTTTGGATCGAATATGGTCAAGAGGTTGGAGGGGAGGAGAATGCAGGTCTACCAGGCTGAGGGTGAGGGCAAAGGCTGACGAAGAGGGGAGTTATAGATTTCCTGTAGCGGGTTTGGGCTTACAGACACATGGACTGGGCTGGGAGGCGAACAAAGGAAGCAGGTGAGACTGTCAGAAAACGCTTACAAGACTTCATGCAAGCAAGGACATGAACTCAGAAAGCTGAGGTCAGAAACATCCTGCTGTCGCGACACTGCTTGGGTGACCTTGACCTTGACCAAGTCTGTCCTGTTTGGGACTGATTCTTCCTATAAGGCTAGGGTTTGGACCTGATGTTCTCAAGATGTCTAGAATTGCATGGCCGGCCTTGTGGAATAGATGGTTTTGCATTCCAGCCAAGTGGGCTGTAAGCTGTTTATCTGTAATATAAATCCCAGCTTTTGAGTCTGACAAAATCAGAGTTAGGATCTTGTAAAGGAAAAAAAAAAACCACAAACAAACAAAATGGAGATGAGTACTTGCTGAGAAAGAATGAGGGAAGGAGTTGGCATTTGTTGAAAGTATAGTCTGTTTCTCTTTATTTAATAATTGCAACTATTACTCTAGATTTAGGAGGTACGTGTGCAGGTTTGTTACATGGGTATATTGTGTGATGCTGAGCTTGGGATGCGAATGATCCCGTCACCCAGGTAGTGAGTATAGCACCCACTGAAAGCGTAATCTCATGCCAGACACTGTGCTAGCCCACTCTGGCTCATTTAATCCTCTCCCAAGAAGAGAGGAGACGCAGTATCCCCATTTGACAGATGTGGAAAGAGTTTCCACAGGTGTGCCTTGATTCTGTCCTCAAACCGTTTCCTGGGAGCTTTTCCTGGTGTAGGCTCTCCTAACCTAATCCTCAATCGACTCCAGAACTATTATTCTGTTTCCACAGCGATAATGTGTCTAGGTTTTAGGGAGGACAGTTCATTGATGTTACTTATGAAGAATGCTTTCCAGGTGAAAAGTTCCTTAAGTTTGAGGCTTCAAATTCCATAGAGCATATTAAAATCCCATTCATGAGTTTCAAATACTGCTCTGTTGTCTTGGAAATACCAACCAGATTATTGGCTGAAGTGATGTGGGTAAAGAAGGGATCTTAGAAAAACTAAAGCTTGTGTGTGGATTTCTGGAAATGCTTGCTCTGGAGAAGCAAGAAATGGTAGAAAAGAGAGTAGGGAAGCTGATTGGAGAGAAAAGTGAGATCATGAGAGAACCCAGAATCCTGGAACCATTTGGAAAAAGACTTTTATTTACATTTCCCTTCTGAAGTGTGAGCCAGTTAGACAAAGGGGATGCGGGCCAGGGCGTAGGTGTAGCCTCAGAAGCTGGGGAAGCTTTCACAGCTACTCAGTCTAAAAATGACCCCATTTCTTGAAAATTATGCATTAGACTCTGGTCTAGTTTCCCTAGCCACAATATCTTGGGGTCCTTGCACCCGTAAGAGATGTGGCCCAGCTGGGCACGATGATTTATGCCTGTAATCCTAGTACTTTGGGAGGCCGAGGCAGGAGGATCACGAGGTCAGAAGATCGAGGCCATCATGGCCAACACGGTGAAACCCCGTCTCTACTAAAAATACAAAAATTAGCTGGGCATGCTGGCACGTGCCTGTAGTCCTAGCAACTCAGGAGGCTGAGGCAGGAGAATCACTTGAACCCAGGAGGTGGAGGTTGCAGTGAGCTGAGATCGCGCCACTGCACTCCAGCCTGGCGACAGAGCGAGACCCCGTCTCAGAAAAAAAGAAGAGAGGTGACCAGTGTGGCCTGAAGTCACCTAGCCAAGAAGTGGGGGAGGGGCCCCTGAAGCCTGGGACATGCTTGTTCGGCCTCCCTTGACTCCCAGCGTCTTCAACTCCTAAAGGAAATCGTAGCAGGGAGGAGGGCTGGGAATATGGCGCTCAGCCCCTTCACCCTCTTCCGGAGGGCTGGGGGCAGGTGCTGCCCGCTGCGTACTGACCTTTGTCCTGCCATTTGCAGTTTATGAGGTGCTTTCCTCATCCCATTATCTCATTTGATCCTCCCCACAGCTCTCTGAGGAGACTGGGCGTCCCCATTTTACTGACAAAGTGGGCCGAAGTCACTGGCTGCGTGAGAGTGGGGACCAACTGACAGCATGCCTGCCCCCACGTTGCAGCTCAGTGAGGCCACCTGGGCAGCACCTGGGACAGCCAGGAAGACGGCAGCACTGGGAGGGACATCTTTCTCCCCAACAGTTCTCTCCCCTCTCACCCCTCAGGACGCTGCACTGTCCTGGCACAGACCCCTGGGCTGGCCTCTGTGCTGCCCTCTCTGTCGGTCACCAGACACCCTCACCCCAACTCTCACCAGCCCAGGGACCTCCGAATGGACCCCTCCTAGCAGGAGACAGCCCCGTCTCTCGCTCACCCCAGTCTGCATCCCCTCAGGTGTGTCCTGGGCTGGGGAGTGGGGGTGGGGAGGAAGCCACAGGGCCAGGCTGTTTATATCCTGCCCTGCCGGAGCTGCTGGTCACCTCTTATCTGCTTCTGTGGGATTGGGTGTGTCGCTCTGCAGGTCAGAGGGAGGTCACCCCTCCCATGGTGTTTGGGTGTGCCTGAGGAGGGGCTGGGGTCGGCCTCCTGGGACAGTTCCCGGCTTCTCCCACAGCCCCACCTGTCCCACCAATTCTCGGGAAATCTGGCTTCTCCTGGGGGAAGTGGGTGAAGGGGTTGCGTTTCTGAGGAGTCTGGTTTCAATCTGCTCTCTCACTGCAGTTGTCTGTTTACACATCTCTCTCCCTCGCCTGGCTGTGAGCACCTCTGGGCAAGTGCTGGGGCTTACTCACCTCAGCACCTTGCACAGCGCCTGGCACAGAGGAGGAGCTCAATAAATATTTGTTAAATAGCCCCGTGACTCTCCCTGCCCTGGCCACCACCTCCCCCACAAACCACACACACTCATACACACTCATGGGAACCAAAGTCACACACACTCACACTCACAAAGATAAATATCCACAAGCCCTCACTCACATGCCGCTGCAGTCACCGCAGACACTGCCTGCTCTCACACACTTGCGTGGACCATATGCACAGCCTCACACTTGCACACACCGGCGCACACAACACACTCCCACCTCACAGTCTCACATAGCCACACCCAGGCCTACTTGCAGTACTCACCTCCTCCCTCAGGGTCCTTCTGTGAAGCATTTCCTGACCTCCTCTTTGGCCCTTTTCCACCACCAGATGGGTTCAGCCCTTGCCTCCAGTCAGGACAGGCTTGGTAATTTGCAGAGTCCAGTGCAAAGTGAAACCCTGGGCCCTTGTTAAAGAATTATTAGGCCAGGCGTGGTGGCTCACACCAGTAATCCCAGCACTTTGGGAGGCCAGTGGATCACCTGAGGTCAGGAGTTCGAGACCAGCCTGATCAACATGGCAAAACCCCATCTCTACTAAAAATAACAAAATTAGCCGGGTGTGGTGGCGAGCGCCTGTAATCCTAGCCACGCTGGAGGTTGAGGCGGAAGAATCGCTTGAACCTGGGAGGCGGAGGTTGCAGTGAGCCAAGATCAAGCCACTGTACTCCAGCCTGGGCAACAAGAGCAAAACTCCATCTCAAAAAATAAATAAATAAAAAATAATAATTAAAAATTTCAAAATGGCAACAGCAGAGCAGAGCATGAACCATGCGTGAGGTGCGGTCCTCCTCCAAGTGCAGGGCCCTGTGGGACCGCTGTACATGTAGCACTCAGGAAGCCACCCCTGCCACCATTTGCCACTGGCCCATAAGAGCTCCACTGAACTAACTACCCACCATGACTTCTACTACAGATATGTTTGCCACAGTCACAAAGAAATCAACAATTTGTCAAGTTTTTCGTTTTTGAGACGGAATCATGCTCTGTTGCCCAGGCTGGAGTGCAGTGGCACCATCTTGGCTCACTGCAACCTCTGCCTCCCAGGTTCACGCCATTCTCTTGCCTCAGCCTCCTAAGTAGCTGGGACTACAGGTGCCACCACCATGACCGGCTAATTTTTTTGCATTTTTAGTAGAGACAGGGTTTCACCATGGTAGCCAGAATGGTCTCGATCTGCTGACCTCATGATCTGCCTGCCTTGGCCTCCCAAAGTGTTGGGATTACAGGCGTGAGCCACCGTGCCTGGCCCAAGTTGTCAAGTTTTTAAAAGTAGGAAAATTTTCACAGGAAAAAATCCTGAATTTATGGCTTGTCTTTTTAAAAAATCGGCTGTGCGAGGTGACTCACACCTGAAATTCCAACATAGGGAGGCCGAGGCAGGAGGATCACTTGAGCCCAAGAGTTCAAGACCAGCCTGGGCAACATAGGGAGACCCTCTCTCTACAAATAATTTTTTTTTTTTTTTTTTTTGAGACGGAGTCTTGCTCTGTCGCCCGGGCTGGAGTGCAGTGGCCAGATCTCAGCTCACTGCAAGCTCCGCCTCCTGGGTTTACGCCATTCTCCTGCCTCAGCCTCCTGTGTAGCTGGGACTACAGGCGCCCGCCACCTCGCCCAGTTAGTTTTTTGTATTTTTTTTTTTAGTAGAGATGGGGTTTCACCGTGTTAGCCAGGATGGTCTCAATCTCCTGACCTCGTGATCTGCCCGTCTCGGCCTCCCAAAGTGCTGGGATTACAGGCTTGAGCCACTGCGCCCGGCCCAAATAATTTTTAAAAAATTAGCCAGGAGTGGTGGTGTGCACCTGTGGTCCCAGCTACTCAGGAGGCTGAGGCAGGAGGATCGCCTGAGCCTGGGAGGTTGAGGCTGCAGTAAGCTCTGATCGCACAATCCAGCCGGGGCATGATTTGTAACTTTGAACAAGTTACCTTCCTTTTCTGAGCCTCAGTTTCCTCATCTACAAAATGAAAATTGTTCTACTTCGAGTGCTTTGTCCTACAAGTCACCAGAGTGAGACCTGGTCTCAAAACAATTTAAAAATAAAAATAAATGTGAAAAAAAAGAATCAGAAGATTTGGCCCAGCTGAGTTAGCTCTCCCTGGACCACAATCTGTCAGAGTGGAGTCAGGCTGCTCCATACAGTCTTGAGTTTACCACCATCCCCACCATGCAGTACCTGTGTGGCCCCAGAAGCGCTGAGATTTCAACTCCTGGTTAAAAACATCTAAGCCTCTCCCACCTACGGCTCCCAGACTAGGAGCACGTTTTGTATCCCCTCTGCTTGGCAAAAGGATGTCTCGTTGGGCATGTTAACAAGTAAATGAATGAAGTGGGTTGGGGGGATGGGAGGATGCTCATGAGTATGGAAGCCCAGCCAGCTCCTTCTATTATGAGGGTCTGGGATGGACACCAGAGCCCCTGATACTTACTGGGAAATATTGAGTTTTCTTAGCTCCAAGACATTGACTTTCAACCCAATTCAGTGCATGGCATAGCATGGGCCCTCATGCACACTGGACTGTCTCTGCATGGTCTTCTGGGCTGTGCATGGCTGCTTAACCCAGAGTGCCCAAAGATGGAACCACTGCCCAGCAGTCTTGTCCCATCTCCTCTCTCTGCTGAGGGAAGAGAGTTGGCAGAACTTCATTGTCCGTGACAGCTCTGCATGTATTTCCCCCTCAACCCATCTTTTCTCAGGAAGAACAAGCACTTTAAATTGGTCCTTACATTGGCTGGGTGCAGTGGCTCACGCCTGTAATCCCAGCACTTTGGGAGACCGAGGCAGGCAGATCACCTGAGGTTGGGAGTTTGAGACCAACCTGACCAACATGGAAAAACCCCGACTCTACTAAAAACAGAATTAGCTAGCTGTGGTGGCACATGCCTGTAATTCCAGCTACTCGGGAGGCTGAGGCAGGACAATCGCTTGAACCTGGGAGGCAGAGGTTGCGATGAGCCAAGATCACGCCATTGCACTCCAGCCTGGGCAACAAGAGCAAAATTCCGTCTCAAAAAAGAAAAAAAAATTAGTCCCTACATCATAACTACCAGTGATTTGTAGGACAGAGCACTCTATGTAGAACACTTTTCACTTTGTAGATGAGGAAAGTGAAGCTTAGAAAAGAAAGGTAACTTGTTCAAAGTCACAAATC